GTCTCTTCATTAAACCCTGGACTACCGGTACGTGTCGGAAGTCGATGCCCCGATAACCAAAATCATCTGGTAGCGGAGAGACAGGTAGTTGTAAGTAGGACCAATATATGAATACGGTACAGACCCAGACATTAAAATATTTTTTGGTAGAGACTAAACAGATAATTATAATTGCGGACCAGCGTGACATAACAGATATATTAATTGAATCGGAAACGCTACCGAGAGAGCAGCTATAAATAGAATATATAGGAAGATATACAGGGGGCTCTGTAATCACGTGTACAAATTGATTATATCTATAAACCACCGAGTCGATATGGTATTTGAAAACACAAAACAAAATCTACGGTTTATATAATATTTAATAATTTTCAAATAATATTGATTGATTCATTTTATTTTATTTATTTAATTCATAGACCAGTAATTATAGTATAGGCGTCACAATAAAATACATTAATTGAAATAGGGATATATATAAAACAGGTAACAACAAGAACATGATAATTTAAGTAAGAATTGATTAATTTGGTAAACGTATATTAAAACAGCGTAAAACCCAAAACTGTGGTAAACGCTATTATGAGTATTTTTTTAAAAAAAAATTTAATTGTAACCACACGAATTTGGTATTAACAGATTGTTAGGTATACAGAATGTTGGGTTGAAATAGGAAACGTTACCGAGAGAGCGGCTATAAATAGAATATATAGGAAGATATACAGGGGCTCTGTAATCACGTGTACAAATTGATTATATTTGTAAACCATCGAGTCGATATGGTATTTGAAATCACAAAACAAAATCTACGAATTATATATCATGTAATAATTTCCTAACAATATGGTTTAATTTTATTTAATTTATTTAATTCATAGACCAGTAATTATAGTATAGGCGTCACAACAAAAAAAACAATAATTGAAATAAGGATATATAAAACAGGTAACTGGGTAAAAACTGATTAATTTGGTAGATGTATATTAAAATAGCGTAAACACAAAATTGGGGTAAACGCTATTATAAGTATTTAAAAAAAACGAACGTTAATTGCAACCCACAAGAATTTGGTATTAACAGGTTGTTAGGTATACAGAATGTGGTGCTGAAATAGGAAACGTTACCGACACAACGGGGCTAAAATAGAATATATGTGAAGATATACAGGGAGTCGTAATCACGGTGTACAAATTGAGTTATATTTACAAACCATCAAGCTGATATGGTATTTGAAAACACAAAACAAAATCTACGAATTATATATCATTTAATAATTTCCTAACAACGTTGTTTAATTTTATTTAATTTATTTTAATTCATAGGCAAGTAATTAAAGTATAGGCGTTACAACAAATACTTTAATTGGAATAGGGATACATAAAACAGGTAACTACAAAATATGATAATTTAAGTAAATTGATTAATTTGGTAAATGTATATTAAAACGTCGTAAACACAAAATTGGAGTAAACAATATTATAAATATTTAAAAAGAAATGAAAGTTAATTGCACCGCACGCGAATTTGGTATTAACAGGTTGTTAGGTACTTATACAGAATGTTGTGTTGAAATAGGATACGTTACCGACAGAGCGGACTAAAATAGAATATATGTGAAGATATACAGGGAGTCGTAATCACGGTGTACAAATTGAGTTATATTTACAAACCATCAAGTTGATATGGTATTTGAAAGCACAAAACAAAATCTACGAATTATATATCATTTAATAATTTCCTAACAATGTTGTTTAATTTTATTTAATTTATTTTAATTCATAGGCAAGTAATTACAGTATACGAGTTACAACAAATACTTTAATTGGAATAGGGATATATAAAACAAGTAACTACAAAATATGATAATTTAAGTAAAATTGATTAATTTGGTAAATGTATATTAAAACGTCGTAAACACAAAATTTGAGTGAACAATATAAATATTTTTAAAAAATGAAAGTTAATTGCACCGCACGCGAATTTGGTATTAACAGGTTGTTAGGTATACAGAATGTTGTGTTGAAATAGGAAATCAGAAACTCTAAACAGGACCAAATACCATCAAAAGCTTATTATAGACTAATGTGTAGTGAACGAAGGAAAAATGTAAGTACAAATTATATTATACTACTGTGATACTGTGATTTACTAATAATAAATAAAAATCTTTAAAATCAAGGTGAAAAATTTATATAAAACTATTGCATTAAAAGCTAAAAACTGCAATAAAAATAAATAAGCATTAATTACAATAAATTCTTTAATGAAGAAAAAAAAAAGACAATAGCTACATACTAGAAACTTAGAACGAAAAGACAATGAACTTTACCTAAAAACCATGATTTCAACAGGAAAAATCAATTCAAAAATTCTAATAAAAACTATAACATTAGCTGTAAATATAAAAATGCTTAAAAATAAAGGTGAAACGGAAAAATATATATTAGCATTAAATTCTAAAAAACTATAAAAATACATTAGCCAAAATAACCATCAAATTTTATAAATTAGCGGTTTATTAAACATAGCATCTTTTACATTAAAATTCACTTCAACAAAAAAAAATCGTAATCTACAGTAATAGGCGTTTATTATTATAGTAAATTGTATAATGAAAAACAAAGTCAAAATTCTACTTAAAAAATATATTCCACTATTATACAGTGTGTTATTTGAACAGTTGAAAAACAGTAAAAATTCTTATGACTAATAGATTTAGTAGGTAATGATAGACAAAATTAGTATTTATTATAGCTTATACTACGTTATAAACTTATAAAAAATCAGGCATACAGGGTGTAATAAGTAAAAAAAAAAGGAGTATAAAAGCAAATTGCGTTCATTAAATAAATTGTATGCTTTTCTAGTAAGATGAATGGAAGTGGACAATACAGATATAAAAAAAACAAGACGGCGAAGAGAGAAAGAAAGGGATACTAAAACTCAAGACGGTAGAAATAGAGAGAGAGAGAAACGGGGTACTAAAACACAAGGCGGTAGAGAGAGAAAGAGATACATACAAGATGCCAGAGAGAAAGGACAACCGAAGGCTAAGGGTAAGTTTGCTTAGATTTTCCACATTTCAGATAGCATGCTGCTTTTAGTTTCTATATTTCAGATTACGTCGTTTAATACAGATTTAATTAATACACAGTCTTCTATACCGGCTTAACTCTGTATTGTGTCGTGTGAGGACTAATTTTCAATGACTACCCCTGACAAGGTAGTCATTGGATTTTTCTTTGCCAACGAAAAAAAAAAGGTTCCAGCCACAGGCGAAAATCTTAAAACCGTTCGCGAATGCGAAAGACCTTCGGGCTTCCAAACGATAAAAATGGCTGTCTTGTGGTTAGGGCAAAATTCAAAATATATTCGTTTTGAATCCTAGGTCATTTGCTATGATTGGCTAATACGCATTGTACTCCTAGCGCCATTCAATCACCTCGATGGCTGTGTTTTGAACTAAACAGATCCGTTGCGATGATAAAGCGACTTATAGGTCTACGCAACTAAAATTTTATTGCATGTTATCACTTATAATCTACAAGGGCCAAATGTTTTGTCACAATTAAAAAATTGTTATCGACTACACTAGTTAAAAATATTAATTTTATTTAAATTTGAACAAAAAAAAAAGAATTGTCAATTTTTATTAAAATACAGTTTGACGTAGGACTACATTTTACTATATATTTAATTTTAGTAAAATAATTTTGCTACTATTTTTATGTATTAGTCTGCAGGCCGCCAGAGGCCATATGTACAACGTAAGACTACATTTTACTATAATATGTGTATTTAATTTTTTAGTAAAATAATTTTGCTGTTATTTTTATGTATTAGTCTGCAGGCCGTCAGAGACCATATGTACAACGTAAGACTACATTTTACTATATGTGTATTTAATTTTTAGTAAAATAATTTTGCTGCTATTTTTATGTATTAGTCTGCAGGCCGCCAGAGACCATATGTACACACACATATAAATGATCTGTAATTGTGTTTGAAGTAGCACTTGTATTTCCTTTGCTAAATGGATTGCTAAAATAAATGTTTATTAAAAATCACAAACAAAAAACATACTATCATAATAGTTTTTGTCGAAGGGGTAAACTTTTTTTGAAAAGCGGCAAACTTTCTCGGTGGCTGTAGAGGTAATGGAGTGGGGGTGGTTCTTTCATAGCCATCGGGGCCCCCTAACTAAGCGGGACATAGCAACAAACTTCCACAAAGTATATTCGCACATATGCGTACAAACGATAACGTTATCTAAACGAGTCCCCTGTACGTGACAACCCCTTTCTTATCAGAACGTGGTATTACGACACCAAGGAATCTGTACTCTCCCTCATGAAAGTGGTATCTGTTACGTTAACATGAGGAAGAAAGTCGACCACCTGCCCAAATTTTACGGAAAAAACGCACAAATCATAAACTTTAAGAGGCCTCTACCGTTATAACACGTCACAGCTTGGGTTCGTCATCGTCACAGGTTCGAAATTAGGAGAAGGTTTCGAGGTTATAAAAGCCGGAGGCGTTGTCATACCTGGTCTTTTCTTTCGTGTTTTATCTATCAATACGTATGTGTGTGCATTTTAATTACGTTTTATCTCTCTCTGAGTTTACCTTATCACCTGTTACTTTTCAAATTTTACAAAGGTAAATTTTAATTTTAAAATATGGCGTGACGCATATCAAATTAAACGTCTTGATTAATGCAATAAGATAGTGGGTCTCATAGAATTTTTCTTCTGTTCGCGATCGATGATATGCTAGCTCTGCAACAGGTAGAAAGCGCTCACTATCTAAACGTTTTTACTCACTTATAAATTCTTAATGAAACCCGTTGCATGTTACTTGAATCACGCCCTATTTTCTAATCAAACACATTCTAATCACGTGACCTATTTCAGATGCTACAAATAGGTGTACCTTACGGACGTCTAATCACCTTTTATCTCACCGACACGAGATTATCCAGAGTGTTTAAATAACGAGTTACAAAGTCATTTCTTCAGTTTTATCTTCAGCCTTCGAAGTGTTAAGATCGCAGTCAGTCTTCTTTTCGTGCTCGACGCTATTCAATTAACTTGTAAGTTTTTCAAATTTACTTTCGACAGGGAGCGTTTATCAGCTTTGGTATCTTTCAGAAATCCTACTACCGCTGCAAGATGTCTAAATTTTCGATAGTTAAAGACACAACACGCATGGTTCGCAACTTTAATTTACAAGGACGTACTTTAGAGTTTAAAATTAAACCGGTACCCGTCGGTGAAGACCCCGTCGGTTGGGTAAAGGAGGCCATTAACCAAATAATTCAAAGAGCAACCGAAAACCTCAGTTCTGAAGATCAAGTTTCGTTTTCGTTTTGCTCCAAGGATTTCGCCAGAGGTGATGGTTGGGTCCGCTTCAGACCTATGGAACAGGTTACTTACGATGATGTGTGGAATGTAATAAGCAGCACCTATCAGTCAAATTCCACGGGGCTCAACACCGAGACGTTCTGTCTAGGAGTCACCTCTGTGCGGATGCCCGCTCGGAAAGGACGCGGCAAAAAGTATAACACTTTTGAAGAGGAGTGTGAGAAGCGACGATCTACAGATAATTCGGATATGACGCTAGTTGCTCGACCATCAACCTCTAGAGAGTCCCAAATCCAAAGACAAACTCACACTTTAAAAGAAGCAGAGGGCCAAAAGAGAGTGACTAGAAAGAGATGTAGCGCATGCTATAAAAATATGTCAAGGCAGCACAATTCAGCCTATGCTCGAAAAAATGCTAAAAAGGTGAACACTGTTTGTGAACAGTGTGAACAACCAATGTGTATAGCATGTTTTAAAAATCACAAATAAACATACTTATTTTGTGTACTTTAATGAGATTTTACTTGTTTAGTTTTAGGGTTAGAATAGTTTTATTCAGTTATACTTGTTTTCTTTTATAAAAACTGTTTACTTTTCTAGTGTTTTGCAAAGCTTAGGGCTAGTTTTGTAACACGATTCAATCATAAAATAAAGTTTTCTTTCCTAAATATTACTCAGTATTTTGTAGACATACTACCAAGCCCCAGTAAGATAGGTTTACATCTTGGGACCAAACTTAATATTTTATTTCTCTATGCTAAATATATGTATAACGTTGCCACCGGTGGGCACACGGTCTCGAAATAAAACACGTAGTGTGACCACGAGTGGTCACGTTGTCCATTCAATGGGGGTTCAATAATGACCACCGGTGGTCACTTGGTCCTCTGTTGAAAAATTAAAATGTCCATCGGTGGGCACGTGCCGCTCAGCGTGGTAGTATGTGGTAGTCGCTAGACAGAAGTTCAAACAAATAATGGTAATCGCCCACAACGGGACAGGCATTTGACATATTCGAAAATAAAAAACATAATACAACGTTTGTGTTTTATTTTTAAGTAACAACTAGTCAAAAGATAAATATAATTTCAAAAAGACGTTAACTCAGTACGGTCTTTTAGAGTAGTCAGAGATAAACTGGGGGATAAACTAAAAACCATAGAGATTAAAACATATTTTACGTGTTCTTCAAGGTTACCGCATGTCCTTTTTCCGCGATACCCCTCCAGAGTATAGATGTAGTTGAACATCTTTGGTTTTGAATGCTTGTTGAAGGGGTCAAAGTCAATTTTCGACAGCAGAGCAAACGATACGGGTTTTCGTCTTCATAACGTATATAACACGAAGGCTACTTAGCCACGTACTACTGATTAATTACATCGCCGCGAATATTTAGCTTCCTTAGCGGTCTCAAAGCTTTTGCTTTAAAGTAGAACTTAATCGCCGTTTTCATTTTCTCGACTTGATACTGCCACGAACAATACAAGAATGAATCGCTTGCTCGAGGTATTTTTATTATGTAGGGAGTAAGAGTGGAGGGGTAAGGAATTAAAAAACGCGTATTTAATACATATTTATTTTCAGCATTTTATTTATATCATTAATGAAAATTTCAATAGAGGTATTTACAAGTTTAAAATCGTTGTATTTACATGTAATAATAGTGTATCTCGTTCTTGATGCGGTTGAACAGGTTAATGCTGTTGGGGCTACGAAATCTGCTACGACCAGCGCTCTAGGATACTTACTCTGTAGCCTCTTCAATGATTGCGGAAAACGTCTTCTCTGGGTTCTAATGATATAGTACGGATACTCGTCTGATTGATTCTTTTTCTGTCGCTTGTCTGGGGTTAATGACCTTTGGGGCTGATATCGTGAGCATAATTTTCTAGCTTTTGGTTTTAAATTCTTTAACGAAATATTCTTCAATTATTTTACTACATTTCATTTAGAACTCTGGAGATACCCAGCAAGCAATATCCAGGAACAACTCTTTCAGCATATACGTTCCAGAGATAATTGTGTTATATACAACATTATCATTCAGAAAAATGTCTAACAATATCATTCAATATATTCAGCTCATACATGAAGAACTCCTTCTCCACTCGATAACTTTCTAGAGCTTGATGAACAGCTGTCTCTATATCCTTTGCATTGGAAACTCTGATTAGGTCTACGTAAAAGAACAAGTCAAAGTTGATTCTGTAATCGTTGAACTGATGTTTGTAACATTTCTAGCTCCATACTTCATGGTTGTTGCTATGTAAACGTTTTCCTCTTTCTCTTCTGTTCTAACTTCATTGAGCATTGCAGGATGCATATACGTTCCGGAAATAATCGTGTTATATACAGCGTTCTTATTGTCTTTTTATCGTGTAATAATCAACATCGACCTTCTAAAGACGAATGAAAGAAGGAGGATGATGCATGCAACCGTCTGGAGATAAATGCAGAAGGAAGAAGAGGGTGACGTTCTGGTAAGTTATTTAATTATTCCCATATCATGCAGCTTGTTGACAATGCCTCTACAAAGACGATGTTCTACACTCAAACGAAGTTCTTCGATATAATAGCGTAAATTATTTACAAGTTCGTTGGGGCCATCTATCATATCCCTGCTCTCTCTTTCTAGCACGTAGGCATCTTCGCGGCTCTCACAGTTCATGTCTGCTTCTAATTGTTTATCATCATTGTAATTGTTTTCCATATTTGCCGTTTCTAATTGGTCATTATCATTGCAGTTGACAGGCCTGTACATATATTTTCTGATTGACTGATATTTTCTATTGCAGGTACTGTCCTCATCTTTCCTGTCGAGGGTGGCTAGTTCGCTGCTATTATTATTACCAGTTATTACGGTACTCTGTTGATGCTTGTTTTCCCGGTGAGTGATTAAGTTGTCCTGTCTTGTAAATTTCTTTCCACATGCATTGCAGGACAACATCCTTAGGACAACAGGATAACCATGACGTAAAATCAGGATATCCTTAGGATAACAGGATAACCATGGCGTAAAATAAGGGTATCCTTAGGATACCAGGATAACCATGGCGTAAAATCAGGATAGCCGTGACGTAAAAACAGGATAACCTTGCGATAAAAAGGATAGAACGATAACAAAAGGGTATTTCAAGGTACATTCTGCGAGTACAGAGACATTTTGCTACAGCTATTCAAAGTGTAAACATGTATGTGTGCGACATTTGCTCCAAGGATTTTGCATATAGAAATTTACAAGACAGGACAACTTAATCACTCACAGGGAAAACAAGCATCAACAGAGTACCGTAATAACTGATAATAATAATAGCAGCAAACTAGCCACCCTCGACACGAAAGATGAGGGCAGTACCTGCAACAGAAAATATCAGTCAATCAGAAAATATATGTACAGGCCTGTCAACTGCAATGATAATGACCAATTAGAAACGGCAAATATGGAAAACAATTACAATGATGATAAACAATTAGAAGCAGACATGAACTGTGAGAGCCGCGAAGATGCCTACGTGCTAGAAAGAGAGAGCAGGGATATGATAGATGGCCCCAACGAACTTGTAAATAATTTACGCTATTATATCGAAGAACTTCGTTTGAGTGTAGAACATCGTCTTTGTAGAGGCATTGTCAACAAGCTGCATGATATGGGAATAATTAAATAACTTACCAGAACGTCACCCTCTTCTTCCTTCTGCATTCATCTCCAGACGGTTGCATGCATCATCCTCCTNTATTATAAGTATTTTTAAAAGAAATTTAATTGTAACCACACGAATTTGGTATTAACAGATTGTTAGGTATACAGAATGTTGGGTTGAAATAGGAAACGTTACCGAGAGAGCGGCAATAAATAGAATATATAGGAAGATATACAGGGGCTCTGTAATCACGTGTACAAATTGATTATATCTATAAACCACCGAGTCGATATGGTATTTTGAAATCACAAAACAAAATCTACAAATTATAGACCATTTAATAATTTTCAAAATAATATTTATTAATTTTCGTTTTTATTTAATTTAATTCATAGATAGGTAATTATAGTATAGGCGGCACAACAAATACATTATGAAACGGGTAACAACAAAAATATGATAATTTAAGTAAAAATTTATTAAATTGGTAAATGTAAGCGCATATATGTATTTTAAAATGCCTTAAATACGAAATCGGGTAAACTCTAACTATTATAAGTATTTTTAAAAAAACGAAAATTGAATTGCAGCCCCCGCGAATTTGGTATTAACAGGTTTTAGGCATAGAGAAGGGTGTGTTGAAACAGGTACTTTAGTGAAAGAGTGGTCTATAAATAAAATATATCTGGAGATACACAGAGCTCTGTAACTACGCGTTACAAATTGAGTTATATTTACAAATCATCAAACTGGTATGGTATTTTTGAAAAACACAAAGCAAAATCTACGAATTATATACTTTTAATAATTTCCTAACAATACTGTTTAATTTTATATAATTTATTTAATTCATACAGTACATAGCATAGCCGTCAATTAATTGAAATAGGGGGCATATAAAACAGATAACCACAAAAACATGATAATTTAAGTAAGAATTGATTAACTTGGCAAATGTATATTAAGACAGCGTAAACACAAAATTGAGGGTAAATGCTATTATAAGTATTTTTAAAAAACGAACGTTAATTGTAACTCACACGAATTTGGTATTAACAGATTGTTAATTAGGTATACAGAATGTTGGGTTGAAATAGGAAACGTTACCGAGAGAGTGGGCTATAAATAAAATATAGGTGAAGATATACAGGGGGTCTATAATCACGGTGTTCAAATTGAGTTATGTTTACAATTCAGCTGAAAGGGTATTTGAAAAACATAAAAACAGAATCTATAAATTATAGACCATTTAATAATTTTCAAATAATTTTTACTTTTAATTAACCGATAGGCAGATAATTATAGTTATAGGTGCCACAACAAATACCTATATAAAATAAGTAACTACAAAAATCTGATAATTTTCAATTTTCAATATATTTATCAACTAAATAAAAAATACACGATTTTCAACAGTTTTAAATCAAATATTCAAGACTGTATATTTCTGAGAGAATCACGTATCAGAAACTCTAAAATAGAACCGGATACTATCAAAAGCTTATTATAGACTAAGACATAAAATTAGTAATTTAAAAGTTAAAAGATATGTAAAAGTAAAAAGAGTAGCACACACCACTGCTAACAGCTCATTTAAACCAAACATTTTATTATGAGTTCCTTCGAGGTATTCTTACTGTTCATTTTATCTTAAAGAAAAATACTTAAAATATATCCTAGTGTTTCCTCTGATGCTTAATTCAATCCTGTATTTTTAAATGTTAGGTCCTTTTCCAGAACGTAAATCTGAAGAAAACGAACAGGGTCAAACCTTGACTGCAAATGGATAGAGGCGCATTCCACTCTTATATAAATATGTAACTATAGTAATTCATAGACAGCTCGACG